AAAGCCGAGCCACCCCAGGGTGGCTCGGCCAAGGCCGAGCCACCCTGAGGTGGCTCGGCTCTGGCCGAGCCACCCATGGGTGGCTCGGCCATGGCCGAGCCACCCATGGGTGGGTCGGCCTTGGCCGAGCCACCCATGGGTGGCTTGGCTTTGGCCGAGCCCCCATTAGGCATTGGGTTTCGTTGTTTTGCATTTTTGGTTCAGTCCGTGATTCAGTTGACTTAGACTCTGATTTGTTGATCTGATTTGGCAGTAAATCCGATTCCTGATTTGGCAGTAAATCCACTTCTGAGTTCAAGTCCGAAACTGATCTTGATTCGATCGTGATTCGTCCGAGTCTGCCCTTGGTTGGATGACTCGTTGACTCTTCAAACCCTTGGCTTGATTCCACATGCGAATGGATGTATTCCGTTGCTTGTGTGCGATTCGTTGACCTCGTCGCCTCGTTGGTTCGTCGGTTTGTGCCGAGCTGCGCTAAGGGACCTATAAGCAATTTTATACGCCTACAATAGTATCGTCCACACTCATTGTAAGAACCATTTCCAATTAGCCTCATTCTCCTGGTCGCATACACAATAAGCAAGAGGAAATATTCTTTGGTTACCGTCGCATCTCGTGATACTAAGTAGTTTACCTCTATAGCGGTCTTTAAGAAATGTTCCATCTAAAAACAAGAGAGGCCTACACCCAGCAATGAACCCTTTAATACAGACATTATAACCTATAAACAAACGCCTAAACCTTCCGTCATTAGCATCAGTAGCAACACGACTTCCTGGATTAGTTGCTTGAACCATGGCTTCATACCTGCATAAATATAACAATAATGCAGTAACCTTAGCAACCAATTCATAACATTCACAATAAACTCATAACCGTAACAACCAACACATAAACTTAACATTAAACACATAAACTTAACAACCAACAGATAGTCCTAACAACCAATCCATAACCATAACAACCAATCAATAACTTTAACAACCAACTCATATACTTAACAACCTACGCATAACCTTAACAACAAAAACATAAAGTTAGCAACCAATGCATAAGCTTAACAACTAAAACATAAGGTTAGCAACCAATACATAACCTTCACAACTAAAACATAAGGATAAAAGAATGTACCATCTTAGTGAATCGTAAGCCTCATCATCATCACTGAACAGTTCCTGTTGTGCTCTCTCTTTCCTTTGCCACGCTTTACAGTAGTTAATCTTGATGCTATAGTGTGAGAACAAGTCATTCTTGATATCAATTGGACGAAGATCGGGCTTAACCTTCAAAATATATTGTATTTGGCTTGCAATGAACTTTCTTGATGCCCTTGAGTGGCCAGCATTAGCTCCATGTTGACCGCAAGTATGGGTAGAATAAAAATTCTTTATAGACATAATTGAGAAATTTCTGAGTGGGGAAGCAAACAATATCTAAGGGCAACTTAGCGTGTGCTTGAATTGGCAATAGACTCTTATACGTCTTTATTTATTATGGTAAAAATCATACTTGAACCTTTTCACAATTGAGTAGTATTGAAGTGCTAATCTAACTTCAGCAACACTATCAAATTTCTGACCAATTTTATGTATTGATGTGTGCCACTCAACTGGGATCTTGATTTGGTTATTAATCACGTCTTTCATCATCGTGATCAAGTCGCCAGTGGGATTATCATTAGGAATACACTCATCATTACATGTTTGGGTGAGCGTAGCTGCTACGCATCGTGAGTTTTCTGTCGAGATAGTCCAGTAAAAGTAAAAAAACATTAATACTTACACATTTTCATAACCTTAGCAACAAACTCGTAACCTTAGCAACAAATGCGTATCATTAACAACAAACTGGTAACCTTAGCAACAAACTTATAACCTTAACAATAAACTCATAACCTTAACAACAAACACATAACCTTAGCAACAAACTCTTAACCTTAACAATAAACTCGTAACCTTAGCAACGAACCCGTAACCTTAACAATAAACTCGTAACCTTAACAACAAACGAATAACCTTAGCAACAAACTCGTAACCTTAACAACAACTTTATAACCTTAGCAACCAACTCGTAAACGTAACAGCAAACTCGTAACCTTAGCAACCAACTTAAAAATATCGCAAAAAGGTTAACAACCAAATAATAACCTTAACAACTAACTAATAACATTGACAACCAACTCATAACCTCAGTAACCAATTAAAAGTGAAATGCTTACACATTTTCTGGAGAAGTTTGAGTGTTCTGAGAAGTTGAGGATTCCCCAACGGAGGTAGCAGACAAGTTTATGTCCGCAAATCCATTACAACGACAATACTCGAACATCAACCTCAAGTCGTCGTCATTATCAATTGCAAAACTGAACTTCTTTTCCCTTTCGGATATGAATTTCAGTGAAAGAGTTTGCAATGGTAGTTTAAGCCTTTGGGACACTTGATATTTCAAGCTAATAATTTCTGTAGACCCGTTGATAATTACGAAAACACCCTCACCCTCTTAGTTGCTTTTTGTGTTTGTAACCATGTAAAGAAGGGATCCATCCGTCATTTTAAAGAAGAATAGTTAAAAAACGAAGAGGATTTATTGAGGGGAATTGAGTGGCCGAAGAGAGTAGTTGGGGTAAGCAAAGGGGGAGGGGATGAATTTACTGCGGGGGAGGAAGGAAATGGTAATAATTTGGAGGGAAATGAGGGTTTTCCCCTCCAAAACCATATTCTAATCACCATTTAATGCTACGGTACTACCGTTCACTCTCTGATATCAGGCTTGATTGAGTGATCGGCTGCATGAGGGCATTTTGGTGTTTTTTTTTTTTTTTTTGCATGTCGGGTCACGTGGGGAAGGGTTTTGGGGGCTATAAGAATTTCGTGATGGTTTTGGGAGGCTTAGGGAATGTCGACAAAGTCTTAGGAGCGGGGGGACACGTGAATTCGTTTTGGGGGTTAGAAGCAATTTTCCCTTATTATTATTTGGATTGTAGATTTAATTTTGTCGTTTTCATATCATTTGCCAATAAAAATAGATTTTTTTTTTCCAAATTTATTTTTTAATGGATAAAAAAAGGTCAATAAAACAGACTGGGCT